AATCTCTGACATTGGTTTCAGGTTTTGGGTTTGGAAAGAGCAAATAGCACCGAGTTCGATGCTCAAACACCTGACCCTGTTGTTATATTCATGCCAGAAGTATGTATTCCTAACATGAAAACCTATCAAAGAAGTCCGCTCATTCTCTCATTCGTTGTTTATATTGTTGCCACAGGGCTCAAGAACACATATGGGAAGCACAATGAGACTAGGATCCCGGAGAACACATTTACAGAACCAAGACTCTCTTACTTCAAAACTGTAAGCATAGCTTCATTTATCTTCGTTGAGGTTCCTTGTAGTTTTCCGTTCATGATTTAAAGACAACAACTTGTTTTTCTTACCAGATACGGCGACGCTAGTTATGTAGACGAAAGGCATAGACACCGTTACGAGGTTGGTTTTACATTTAAAAGTTGTTCCTACTCTATTCAAAGAATTGATCACAATGATGTGAAAAAGGTATTTGAATTGATGATATTAGGTGAATCCAGAAATAGCTCAAGTACTTGAAGAAGCTGGTTTAAGACTTGTTGGCAAAGATGATACGGGGAAACGAGTTGAGGTATAGAAAAGAAAAAAAACATCAATAGGAGCATAATCGTGTTTAGTCTGGTCTAATCTGTGTGTGTTTTTGTATGAACAGGTGATTGAGTTTAATAATCATCCATTCTATGTTGGAGTTCAGTTTCATCCAGAGTTTAAGTCAAGGCCCACTAGACCTTCTCCTCTGTTTCTAGGCAAGTAATCTTGTTCTCTCTTTTTTTTTGCAAAAGACACTTATTAGTCTCAAATCTCAATTATACAATTTATCTTTAAAAACTTGTGATTATTGATTTGTAATGGATGATGATTTTACAGGGTTTATATTGGCTGCGAGGAAGCTTCTTCAAACCCATTTAAGCAATTGAGGCAAAGCTCGAGCTCTCTTCTTCATCGATCATTATACATTTTGTGTATATGAGAATAAGTCGACATTTGTTACTTTGCCACTGACAGTTAAGCGACTATAAATAAAAATCATCATGTTTCATATTGAGCCTTCATACAAGGGCTATAGGTAAATAATACGATCTATTGTGTGACAAGAATCACAGGTTTTCCCGCCATTAGCCG